GGCTAGAAAGAACGTGAGGCCATCCATGAGGCCATCCGGGAGGAAGGACCAGGGGCCGTGGTGCAGCCCCAGCAGCCCTCCCCCCTCACTGAACAGAAGGAGGAGGCTGCCGGGGAGGAACGTGGTGGTTTCCCCCTGAGCCTCTGCCAGGAGGAGAAAGCCGTCAAGTAGGAGACAGAACGTAAGAACACACACGACAACTGGGCGAAGGACTGGGTGCCTTCTGAGGCCCGAACTACAGCAAGGAGTGGATGGCTTCCTCCTCACTCAGACTTCGGGACCCCCCAGATCAGAGTTGACTGGCCCACATATGGAGGCGGGAGAGCGAGGTTCTTGTCTCACACGGACAAAGGGGAGTGAGGAAAGTGATGGAGTTTTATGAAGCAAGGATACAGAAAAAGCTCTCAGGAGCGAGAGGGGTCCTGACAGCCAACGTGGGCCTCCACTGACAAGTCTTTTATTTAGAGCTGACCAGGGAGCTTGTGGCCTTAACATTCTTGTGACGTCTTGGTTTGAGTAAGGACTGGTGATAACATCTTTAATGGCTTCTTTCTTCTTTGGGGTCTGGTTATTCTTTGTTGGTCACAGGTGACTGTCATGAAACAAGACCCCCCTTCTGACGCCTGGGGCAGGGTGGTCTGGTTTGTTCCCTCGTCTCTGGTTCCCTTACACCTCTGCATTTGGGGGATTTCTGTGAGCCTGATCACGTACGTAGCCCCCTATCTCTCTCTCCCTACCTAGCCCCACCTGTCCCTTACTCAGTACCTTTCTTGAGCTCCAGACGCATTTGTTCACCTGCTGCCCGGACATCTCCACACGAGACCATCCAGAGCGGCCCTCACCATCTTTCATGCAACTCTGCCCCTCAGTTGGGCACATCGCCGCAGCCACGAGCCTGTGAGGCACCCTCTTCCTCATCCTTATCTTCTAGAAATGGTGCAGCACTAGGAGTGGTCAATATTAAGTCCTGAATGCCTCACAAGTTCTGCAGCTCCGCGCTCTAGGTTCTGGGTTTGAATCCAGCTCGGCCGTGTGCTTGTGGTACGATCTTGGGCAAGTGACTCTCTTGTGTCTCTGTTTCTGCATCTGCAAAATCAGGATAATGAGCACACGCCTCCTACCCGGCTTCTGAGGACTGAGTTTAGTACTCACGTAGCACCTAGAGCAGGGCCGGGCCAAAGCAGGCGCTAAGTCAGCAGTAGCTGCCTTGAGGATGGTATTAAGCCCTCAGGATGGCTTTCAAAACTCCCCTCCCGGCCCCCTCCGCGTGTCCACACACTGAGGCACGAGGCCCGCACCTCTCAGCACGCCAAGCTCCGACGAGCCCCTGGGCCTCCTTCGGCCTGGATGGCCTACAGCGAATTCCCTCTCCCGCCGGCAGGGGGCGCCTGGGGGTGGCGGAGGGAGCCAACAGGGGTGCACCTCCCGAGGGGCCCGTCGCGTCCGGGAGTGCCTCACTTCCAGAGCCACCCTGTGAGGCTGGTCTTCTCTTTGCCTCACTTTCTGGGCAGGAAGCTGAAGCTCAGTGATTCTCAGAATCAAACAGCTAGTAGTGGAGCTGGACTTAAGTCGAGGGGTGGCCATCCCAACCCTGTGTAGTTCCACTGTGTGCAAACCTCTCCTGTCATTTAAGAGGGAAAAATAGAGGTCTTTGAGAGAGAAAGGACAGTAAGAGGATGTGGAAACAGTTCCCCCAGTGGTGGCTTTGCAATGTGTGGATTAGTGAAGCCGAAACATGTTTCCAGGACTAGTGAATTTGAGTTGTTCTCAAGGGAAAGTGGTCAGAGTTGCGAGGGGCAGCGAAGTGGCAGCCACGTTTACACCAGGAAGGTCAGCACAGGGGCTGTTGCAGCTCACCTTGCTGTGGGGAGTGGGGGCCATCCCCCTGCACCGCCCTCTTCACTTCTAAGTGTCTGGGTTCAGCCTGGAGGGCTCCACCGTGAACTGTGCACGCCTGTCCTGAGGTCAGCCGCCTTGTGGAAGATGGAGGATTCCACCGTTTCCTCCTGGGCTCCCGCTTTGTCTGCTTTCCCTTCCCTGCTGACTCAGGGACAGTGTGCAAGGTCGTATCCCTCTGGCAATCTGGGTGTGTCACTCTGTGGTCCTTCCCTGATCGACCCCTAAAGGTATGGAGAGTTAGTTCAATGGATGTTGGGTTAAAGGAGTAAACAAGTGATTGAATAAATATTTTAGTTGCTTTGGGCTTTATTTATTTATTTATTTTTTTAAAGATTTTGTCAGAGAGAGAGACAGAGCACAAACAGGGGGAGCAGCAGGCTGAGGGAGAAACAAATTCCCCACGAAGCAGGGAGCCCGATGCAGGACTCGATCCCTGGACTCTGGGATCATGACCAGAGCCAAAGGCAGACGCTTCACGACTGAGCCACCAGGCGTCCTTGCTTTGGGCTTTCAATTTCGGAACTAAAATTGAGGGGACTCATGTTTTCCAACCTTCCCTAAAGGACAGATTAATGTGTATTACAGCATGTTCCCTGAAAGATCCCCCATGATCACAGTTTTTTAAAGTAACATAGATGGCTCACAGTGCAGTGATTAATCTACAATCAATATTAATTGATGGTAACGGGGTTGTGAATTTTTATGTGGCTTTGTGACTTTGTTTTACAATGTTGGCCGTCATACACCCCCCTCCTTGGGAGGGACTAGGAGATCCTGACAGGAATCAGATGTGCGGCCATCAGACTGCTGCCTCGTGGGGGCCCTGTGGCGCTGGGCCACGGACGAATGTGAGATGGAAGAATGGCTGGCTGGGCAGCAACCACTCCTATCAGGAAATCTAAGCCAACGTTATGTCCAACTGAAAAAGCTAGCCAAGAAAACAAAAGCAGGTGCAGTATTACAGTCTGAAATGAATACTGGTGTAGAGTCAAGGGATTGCTCAAAATGGCGGAGAAATTCAAGCTTGAGTTCCCTATCCTATAGGTCTAATTTGATCTTCCAAACATGAGACAACCAAGAGGAACAAATTTGACCTCCTTCAATGAATGTAGCTTTTGAAGTCTTTCCACTGAGTTATCCTTGAGCCTGGAATTCAGGATTCTCGCTTTTCTTTGGAGGCCATGATGAGGGAAGGGTCTGCCCATTCTGGGGTGGAAAGCTGAAGAGCAGGTATGCCGGGAGGGAGGCTGCCTGGGTATGCATCCTGGTTTCCAAAGATACAGTCTTTGGAGTCAGACCTCTCCCTAAATCCTGGCTTTGCGGCTGGCTGGCTGATCTGGAGCAAGTTCCTTACCCTTTCTGTAATTCAGTGTTCTCCTCCATGAAGTGGACATGGAGGCCTAGTGGCAGCCAGGCTGATCATGCTGTTTTCCTTTGCTTCATTATGGTAGTGACATATAAGCACTTTCCATATTCCCAAAACAAAACTAGGTCCTTGTTCACATCCCTCTTCAATCTTTTCAATCTTCTTAGGAAGACCACAATCTAGCTTTATAGGTTTCAGACCTTTGTTCAACTGCAGGCCTCACTATGGTATCCAAAATCTTCCTGAAAGAACATGAACAAAAAGTTGGCTATTTCATGCCAAACATAACGTAATGTTTTGGAGAAAACAAACAAGCAAAAAAGGTAAAAGATATAAAATCTTAATTTCCTTTAATATAAGTAGACTAGAAAGATCTGTGAATCTACTTTGAAACATTTATCTTTTCATGTTAAAAAACTGTAGCAACTTTCCAATTTCATTTTCTATTACATTATTGCAATCTCTTCCAGGTCTTGTGTAATTTCCAGACTGCACTATGGCTCCAGGCAGCTTTGTATGACACAAACCAGTGTGGCCAGTCACAGAGGCTTTCCAAAAGCTCACCCGCTCTTCCCCAGTGTATATGCTGCCCGAGAGCCGCCAAGATGAGAACCCATGGAGGCTGGCAGTTGAGAAAGGTTGCCCAAGGGCCGTGTGCCCCTCGGCCTTTTCTCCAGGGGTGATACTAACATTTGGGCAGATGCCTGGCTTTAGCCAAGAGCCTCATCCAAGAACATCATGATCTCAATGCCTGCCGGCTCACTCTGGGACTGACCCCGCAGGAGCCTCCTGGGCCGCAGTGGGGACGGGCACAGAGTACTTCCTGACACCCTGGACCTTCCCTCTTTCCCAGTCCTGAGGATGGACGAGGGAGGAGGAGCAGAGTTGGGCCTCAGGCCACCCTGGGTTTGTATCCCAGGTGTAGTCCATGCTGTCTGGGTGAGTTAAACTGCTCAGAGCCTCAGTTTCCTCAAATATAAAATGGGAGTGCCTCTGACTTTGATGTGTGTATTGGGTGCCAGGCAGGCGGGGCTCCAGCAGTGACAGCCTCACTTGGATGAGGGGACAGCAACCAGGGCGTGGAGTTAGCCAAGTGCCGGGGGAAGATGGTATGGGGCCTCTGGGGGGCCCCTAGCACCCCCCAGAGGCCAGCCCCCCTCCCCGCCCCCCCGGGGCGCTCCCTGTTTGGAGTGGGGACAGGAGCACGGACCAGCTACATGGCAGAGGAACGAAACTGACCACGGAGTGTGTGGCACCTTTTATTCAGTCTTTATTTAAATGTGTGTTTTGAAATAGCTTATTAAATAGGACCTTCTCAAATTTCGACTCACAATATTTACAGTGAATTTTGTGCAAACATATTTTTACTGTGAGCGTCTGGCTCTCCCCCTTTCCTGTTAATAATTTACAAATTTGTATCACACAAAACCCCAACTACTTCATTTATTGCCTTTTAGGCTCCCGTTCTCTGTTTGACAGGTACTGAACTAGAATAAGGACTTGCTAGCAAAGAATTTATTCAAGGAGTGCCTGGGTGGCTCAGACGGTTAAGCGTCTGCCTTCAGCTCAGGTCATGATCCCAGGGTCCTGGGATCAAGTCCCCTGTTGGGCTCCCTGTTCAGTGGGGAGCCTGCATCTCTCTCTCCCTCTGCCTGCCACTCCCCCTGCTTGTGTTCTCTCTCTGTCAAATAAGTAAATAAAATATTTTTTAAAAAAAAGAACTAATTCAAGCCCAGAGGAAATAAAATGCTTTATTTATCAAAAAAGAATTACAACAAGGCCTTGCTTTCCAAATGGAAACATGTGTCCTAGGATGTTGTGGAACAGTGTTAGCAACCAAATAAATGTCCAATGGTTATTGAGCCTTTTCTCTCTCTCTTTAAATATTTACAGTCTTCTAGTCAAATAAGCAAAACCAGAAAAGCCAAATTCTAAGAGACTCTGGGCTGTCAGGAAACATTATTAAAAATAATCTGACTTCAGTGAGTAAAGAATGAAGGTCATCAGTGGGCTGTGGGCTGACCCTCCACACTGGCATTGGCCAGAACTGCTATAAGGGGTCCCACGGGGCCCACTCCATCCGCCTCAGGAGTCCACGCTGGGCCCCTGCCGAGAGGGGTGAAGGCCTGTCAGCTACTTCTTCAGATACAAAATCTACAGAGGGACTGATCCTGGAGAAGGACCCCTGGAGAGGCATCCTTCCCTCTCTGGTGGAGAAATACCTGGTTGAAGAACACAGCACACAATACTGTATAAAGTGAGGGTCCTTACAGAGGCCACAACTCACGATTTGGAAACAGAATTCTGAAAAAATACAGATTAATCGTTACACCCTTAATGGCTTATAAATATAACTTTAAAATTTCATTTTATACATTTGATGTCTGAGAACAAACCATAACCTTTTTTGTTGTTTTTGGTTCATGCCTTTTTTTAAAGAACACAATTAAGTCCTTAATGCAAAAGAATACTTGAGACCACATTTTTGTAGCTTTTCTACCTTTTCGCTGAAAGCTTTGATGGGAAGTTAGAGTGGCAGCTAATTAGAAAATAAACTGAAAAGATAACTTTGAGTCCTTTGAGAAGTTTTTCACACATTTAATCATTTGCCCTTCCAATGGCAATGTTCCCTTATTTATAAAAGCGGGCTAACCCTCTGGACCCACGATTTTGTACATACGAGGCATCCCAATGCAATGATTCCTACCCTAAAACACACTTTCACCACAAAAGAATTTTCCCATGATGACAGGAATGAAATATTCCAATCATTCCCTGACGCTTCAGGAGTCAGAGCGAAACACCAGTGTTTACTGCTAGAGCTGTGGTCCTTCACCATCTGTTCCAAGTTCTCAAGTGAGCAGGTCATACCCGCGGGTCCCCTCTGTCCCCGTGACCCCTGCTGACCTGTCCTACTTTGGCCAAGCCGTTCCCAGCTACCCGGGCCGCAGGGGGTGCGCCAGGAGTGGGGTGCGGAGGAGAGCCACTGGGAGCGCGGGACGGTGCGCGGGACGGTGCGTGGAGAGAGGGTTGTGCTTCCCTAGGAACTTAGTTACGGTCAAAACAGACGGGCCGGGAACAAGGACGTGTGACGACTGAAAACATGGATGGGCCTTGTTTTGCCAGAGCTTTCAGCGCCATGAGCAATCCGTTATGTCCAGGTGCAGATAGATGGAATGGTTTTGCACCTCTCGCCCCGACCCCCAGTTCTCCTCGGAGAACTTAACCTTGAGGGCTCAGGGACGCCTGTCATTTGGGCTTCTGCTTGGGGGGCCTGTGGTGACCCAGGGCTTGGGTCTGCAAGCCCACGGCCCTGCTGCCTTTGGTCAACCAAGGGTTAAAACTGTTTTTATCCATGTCTAGTACAGTGGCTCTGATTTCACATAAATTATCACAGACTTGATTCAAATGAATGCATTATTCTAGGTTAATCATTTTTCATTCAAATGTTTATATTCCGTCTACCCTGAACAATGAATTGAGAAAAACCGGGCACCTCCTCCAAAGCCTTCCCAAGGACAATGACTTTCTGAAATGACACTTTCTGTACAAACTGAACAAATGAGACGGTGACTGTGGTGGGAGGGTGGCTGAGACCGTCAGGGGGCGGCTTTCTTCAAGTCCCGGATCTGCTTGATCAGGTAGTTCTTCTCATCGCTGAACTGCTCATCGTCCGTCCTTTCCTTTTGGAAGCTGCTCAGAAACTCAATGAGTTTGGGTTGATTTTTTAGAAGAATCTCCACAATAGGCTGCGTTTTGTGAGGACTGGCCACAAACACCTGAAACGTAAAGAAACAAATACGTCAGACAGGGAACGCACACCAGGGATGACACAGACCCTTCTTGGGGTCCCTGTGCTACTCGTGTTGGTAAAATGCAGAAGCCCCACATTATGCTTCCCTAATTGAGGGAAATCTGTAATTCCCCATCCAGAGCCGTGTTCTGGAGAGCTAGCCGGGAGCTCGTCAGAGCTATCTGGGAACAGTTTTTTTTTTTTTTTTTTTAAGATTTTATTTATTTATTCATGAGAGACAGAGAGAGAGAGCGGCAGAGGGAGAAGCAGGCTCCCAAGGAGCAGGGAGCCCGATGTGGGACTCGATCCCAGGACCCTGAGATCATGACCTGAGCCGAAGGCAGACGCTTAACCATCTGAGCCACCCAGGTGTCCCTGGGAACAGTTTTTACTTTGTTTTGATTTTAAATGTCTTAAATGTTTGTATGTTCTTAACTATACAGTCTTTCCAACAGAAAAGAACATAACAGATACCAATATACCCACCAACAACTTGAGCAGATTTTGCCATTTTACTTCAAATCTCTTTTTAAAGGAATAAAACACTACAAATAGATGCAAACTCTCACTTTCCATCTGTCCCCACCCCCTTGAGCAGTGTGTTTCCATCCCCAAGCGTGTTTTTATCCTTTTCCTCCTACGACATAGATATGCACATAAACATAAACAACATGTAGTATTCGAGTGTGCTTTTGTTTTTTATAATTTAGTTTTTGAACAGGTAATATATTCATCTGGCTACAAAATTCAAAAAAGACAAAGGTGAAGAGTTCCCCTCTCATCTTCCCTCCCTGGAGGTCATCAATGATATTCTTTCCTTATGTATGTGGAGCTTTAAAATTTACAATTTCCCAGGCTCCAGCTCCCAGAGATTCCAGCTCAGCAGATCTGGGGTAGAGGTCTGGCAGTCTGTATTTTTATAAAGTTCCACAAAGATTCTTATGTGCACTCCTGTTGAAACTACAATCCTAGGCTAGTGACTCAGCTGTTCTATAAAAGACAGCAATGACTATCATAATAGGACACAATAACTCAAAACTATAATACTGATTGCTGTAATATTTCTCAATGGACACACTTCCCAGTTAGATGATACATATATGACGACGTGAGAAATACACACACCCCTAAAAGTGTGTGACTCCCATACAGCACTATGGCTTCACATTCTGGGCACCTCACTCCTCCAAAGAGCTGAGTGCTTTACCACCAGGCCCCCTGCCCCATCTCATACTTCCAACAGTGCATCCTCTAAACACACTATGGACAAGGATCGGTTATGGGAATAAGTGGAGGCTATAAGGTTGAGCCCTCAAGGTTTCTCCAGCCCAGCAATCATGAAGAAAGAAAAGAATACACAAAGATGTTAAGGCCCTATGAGAGGGGAAGGAAAGGCTGTGGAGGTTCAAAGGAAGTGAACGTGACATTAGATTCCTGGGTTTATCGTGTGACAGGCGAGCTCGTCCATGAATCAGATTTTTCTATTTCTTCTTGAGTCAGTTTGGTAGTTTGTTCATTTCATTTACATTATCTGATTTATTGGTTAGATTACACTATAATTATTCATAGTATTCTCTTAATGATTTTTTAAAATTTCTATGAGGGGATTGAATTGGTCATCAAAAACCTCCCAACAAAGAAAAGCCCAGGAAAATGACTTCACTGGTAAATTCTACAAACTTTTAAAGAAGAATTAACACCAGTCCACTTCAAATTCTTCCCAAAAAATAAAAGAGAAGGGAACACTTCCTAATTCACTCTATGAAGCTGGCCTTACCCTGATGCCAAAGCCAGACAAAGACATGACAAGAGAACTACAGACCAACATCCTTTATGAATAAAGATGTAAAAATCCTCCATAAGATACAAGCAACCTGAGTCTAGCATCCTATTAAAACAATTATATGCCATCAACAAGTGGAATTTATGCTAGAAATATAAAGGAGGTTCAACATAATAAAATCAATGTCATACACCACATGCATGGGGTTGAACTGTGTCCCCTCAAAATATGAATGTTTAATTCCTAACCCTCAGTACTTATAAATGTGACATTACAGACATAATCAAATCCAGATGAGGTCATACTGGATTAGAGTGGGTCCTAATCCTATGACTAGTATCCTTATAAGAAGAAGAAAATTAGGACAAAAAGACACATAGGGATCCACAGAGGAAAATACTATGTAAAGATGATGACAGATATTGCAGTTATGCATCTATAAGCCAAGGAATGCCAAGGATCACTGGCAATCACCAGAAGCTAGGAGACAAGCATAGGACAGATTATTCGGGTGAACCTCTCCGAAAGGACCCACCCCTGCTGACACCTTGACTGTGGATTTCTAGTCTCCAGAACTGTGAGACAATAAACTTCTGTTGTCTTAAGTCATTCAGTCTATGGTACTTTGTTATGGCAGCTCTAGGCAACTAATATACCACATTAATACAATGAAGAAAAGCCACATAATCACTTCAATTGAAGCAGAAAAAGTATTTGACAAGAGAATGAAGTTGGGCCCCTATCTCACACTGTAAACAAAAATTCACTCAAAATCAATCAAAGACCTTAATATAAGAGCTAATAAAACTTTTAAAGGAAAATATAGGGATCTATATTCGTGACCTTGGATTTGGCGATGGTTTCTTAGCTATGACACCAAAAGCATGAGCAACAAAAGAAAAAACAGATAAACTGAACATCAAAATGTAAAACTTTTGTGTATCAAAAGACATTATCAAGAGAGTGAAAAGACAACACACAGCATGGGAGAAAATACTTGTGAATCATATGTATGATCAATATCTAGTATCCAGAATATATAGAGACCTCTTACAATTCAACAACGAAAAAACAAGGTTTTTTTAAAAGGGGCAAAGGACTTGGACAGACATTTCTCCAAAGAAGACATATATATGGCCAATAAGCATGTGAAAAAATGCTCAACATCATTAGTCATTAGGAAAATGCAAATCAAAACCATAATGGAATATCACTTCACACGCACTAGAATGGCTCCAATAAAAAACCCTGAAAACAACACGTGTTGGTAAGGAAGGGGAGAAACTGAACCCTGTACAATGCTGGTGGGCATGTAAAATGGTGCACCCTCTGTGGTAAACAGTTTGGCAGTACCTCAATAAGTTACACATTTAATTACCGTAAGACTGAAAATTCCATTCTGAAGTATATATCAAAAGAATTGAAAAACTCTGTTCAAATAAGAACTTGTACACAAATGTTCCTAGCAGCACTGTTCACAATAGCCAAAAGTCCATCAACTGATGAACAATTGTATTCCATACAATGGAATACTATTCAGCCATAAAACTGAACGAAATATTGATCATACTACAACATGGATGAGCCTTAAAAACATATTAATGAAAGAAAGCAGACTCACAAGGCCATACAGTATAATTCTATTTATATGAAATATCCAGAAGAGGCAAATCCATGGAGACCAAAAGCAGATTAGGAGATGCCAAGGGCCTGGGGTATGGGAAAATGCCTAATGGGTACAGGGATTCCTTTTGGGGTGAGGAAGATGTTCCAGAACTAGATAGTGATAATAGTCGTGCAACACTGTAAATACGCTGAATGCCATTGAACTGTACACTTTAAAATGGTTAGAATGGTGAGGTTTAGGTTACTACAATAAAGTAAAATTGTCACTTACATATATTTTAAAAAGGACCCCTGACTGGTTTACACTGTTAGAATGCCTGACCTTTATATCATACCTATTAGTAGTATGTCAGAAAATCATATGCTGAAGCCAAATTCGTGGCTCCCGTGGTTACCATTTGTTTACAAGGGAGCTGCTGTGAAGTTTTAGGTGGAAATTGTGTGGAATTTTGTGGTAACTCCATAAATAACTCATAACAGTCTGTCTTTCTAAAAAAAAAAAAAATATATATATATATATATATATATATATATTGGACAAACGAAGCTTCTCTATTTCAATCCAAAATAAATGTGAAATGTAGAAGAGTTTGCAGTCAGGCATCACTGGATTAACTACACTGAATCCACACACTGTACACCTAAAAAATGTTAAATTTGTTTTCCAGTTTTGAAATTTTCCCTATTTCAATTCTCTATGGCTCCTGAACTCTGCTACCTCTAAAGGGAGCTACTGAGCAGAAGCAGCCAATGCACCAGCAGGGTTCCCTCTGGGGCTGATGGCCCCAGTGAAGGCTGGAGATGAACCAGGGCCATTAGGAACGCACTTCTGAATCAAGGTATGCTGAGCCAAATCTTCTGACTATTACGTCCAGTATAGGGAGTTTCTTGGTCCTGTCTCTGCTGGACCCGTTTTTTTTTTTTTTTTTTAATGCTATTTTCAAACCATTCCCCAACAAGTTAAACAAATGGAACTACCTGTGGCTTCTCTTTTTACAGTGTGGTCTTATTGGCTGTATCCCTTAATTTACACATATTGCAGAAGTGTGATTTATGGCGTTCTCAAGCATGGTTAGAGAAAGGCAAATATCATGACCACAACTCAAATATTTTTAACTTAGAAAACTGAGAATACTTTGCTCTCTATTTTAAACCTGAATGCTTTTTATGAAAGATTAAAAAAATGCATGTCTTACACACACATTCATTCATTTCATTCAAATTCTATTCTGTCAAGAGAGATTTGCACTAGACAAGGCATTGGAAGGCTCGTTTTCTGCTTTGCTACCCTTACTGTCTGGGAGGCATGCTGTAAGCCTAGAATGCTTTGTACGTGGATTTGAAACTGGGACTCCCATGACAGTTACATGGAAGTAACTCCACTGAAGTGTAAAATAAGGTCTTTTCATTCTAAAGGTTCACCCTCTCAAATGAACACAGACCTGAGCAATATAATGGTTAGAATATTTTGACACAGTTCTTGCTGGTACTGATCAGAGACAGTAACTTTTTTCCTGTTTAAGAAAGAAGGACCTGATCCCTGCTTCCGCAAGCTGGCTGATGTCTGTGAGCACCAA